CACCCCATTCACAATATCCTCAAAAAAAATAAAATACTTGGGAATCAACCTAACAAAAGAGGTGAAAGATTTATACAATGAAAACTACAGAACCCTAAAGAGAGAAATTGAAGAAGATCTTAGAAGATGAAAGTTATTCCTAAAAAGAGAACATTTGTTTCAGCTTTAAAAGGATAAGATAAGAAAGTGGATGCCCGGGTGTAGAGATGAGCATGGGGAGTGACTGCAAATGGGCACAAGGTTTCTTTTATTTCTTTCTTTCTTTCTTTTTAATTTTTTTTTTTAGTTGTCAATGGACCTTTATTTTGTTTATTTATATGTGGTGCTGAGAATTCAACCCAGTGCCTCACACATGCTAGACAAGTGCTGTATCACTGAGCCACAACCCCAGCCCCACAAGGTTTCTTTTGAGATAATAGAAATGTTCTAATTTTAGAGTGTGGTGAATGTAAATTATGTTCTGTAAATTTATTAAAAATCATTGAATTGTACACTTAAAAATGTGAATTTTATACCCTGTAATTATAACTCAATAAAACTGTTTTTTTTTTTTTAAAAAAAGATTTATATCCGAGAACTCTGGAATGACCAAAAAATTTATTGTTGAAAAGCTGCCAAACCTTTAATTAGGGAGTCAAAGATTAATTGCTTACATTTCCTGAATTTTCCCCATGATAGTTATAAAAAATGATGTTTTATCTCAAATCAAACTCCCAGAAACTCTGCAGTGGGTACATTGTTAGCCATGTTTACAAAGGAAGGAATTTGGGACACAGAAGTTTAAAATAACTTTCCCAATATCCACTGCCAACAAGAGCTGGTGACAGTGTAAACCCAGCACTGCCTGCAACCAAAGCCTAGGGCTGCTCACACACCCTGTCTGTGAATGTGAAGCTCTTCCATTGTTCGACCAGAGATCATCTGTTTTCTACCTGGAAACAGCAGTAGAAGGATTTTCCAATGATTGTGTCAGCATTTTGTATTTCATACTCAAAGTTCATGAAAGGAATAAGGCTAGAATCTTTTTTTTTTTTCAAATTGAATTCAAGTGAAAAAGAGTGTGGGCCTTATGTTAATGGAAAGGTATGTGTTTCTTTCTTCTGATGTTCACTAGGTTGCATTCTTTATTGTGCTTATTTATTTATTTGGATACGAGAGCTTGCTGTGTTGCCCAGACTGGCCTGGAACTCCTGGATTCAAGCTATCCTCCTGCCTCGGCTTCCGGAGTTGCTAGAACTACAAGCCCAACCACTGGGCCTGGATACAATGCATTTTTTTTTTATAACTTTTAAAATAACTTACATACACATAGACACACTTCCTGAAAGTCTCTTTATATATTTCTTCATGTTTGTATATATATATGTATATACACACACACACATTTATGTCTTTATATAGAAACTATATAATATCCTCTCTCTATATAAATATATAAATATTCTATTCATTGGAGGCTCCAAGTCTGCAATTGGTTTGATTGTTTCCTTGGAAGCTTAAAGATGAGACCTTCAATGATATCTGCTTAAGAACCTTTGAGGGCCTGGTCACTGACCTGCCTCTTGCACAGATGGGTCAATAGCCCAACTTTAGATCACTTGATGAGTTGATTAGATCACTCCTCACCCATTTTATGAAATGAATTTCTGAAAAATCATAAGCTCACGGGACTGCATTTTCCAGCTGTGGCCAGGGCTACTGATCTTCACGTCCTTGGTTCTGTCCTGTTATCATCTAGGCCTTATTTCCTTCTTGCCATTTCTCTTTTCTTGATCATTAAAAGTCTGTTCAGACCTCTGGGTAACCCCTCCTACCGTCCCAGTCTCACCTTCCCTGTTGCTGGCTTGCCCTTCTTTTCCCCTCTGCCTCAGTGAACAACCAGATCCTTTCCTTTTTTAAATCTACACACAATAGAAATCTATTTGGCCTCTGCTTCTGGAGATCCAGAAGTCTATGAGCATTTTTCTGGCCCAGATCATTTCTTGTCTTTCCCCTTCTTTCTTCTGAGACATGTTTGTACTCGTTTTAACTGGTTGAAATAATATTTTAAAAACAACAAATAAAAGCAAGAAACCAAATCATCCCGGAACCAGTACAACTATGTCCATGGGTCAAATTTGGGCTCTTGATGTTGGGCCTCCGCTATCACTCACTGGGACTTTGAGAGACGTCCAGAATGATTTTCATATTCAAAGAAATATAGATGACATTGGAAAAAGAGACTGAATGAATGTTGTGGTAATACAATACTAATTATGAAACTGGGTATCACAGTGCTTTATTTTTCTCTCCATCAATATTCTTAGAAATAGGGACGTAAACAGAAACTTCTGCTCCCATTTGGCCATGGTAGAACTTATCAAGTAATTTTGGGATTCCTGCAGTGTAGTTCACATTTCAAAATAAAGTGTATTTGCAGGAGTCCTTGAGTTGCTTCTCTTGTGCTCAGAGATGACTGAATGCCAGGATTGAAAGTCATTAAGGTAGTTTCAGGAAATTAGCCATCTCCTGGTAGCAAGGCTGGATTGTGTATGTTTGATAGCTGTTTGACTCATTGCTCCAGCAGGCAGACCGCTTTCTTGTGAATTATAGTCACTATTCTTCTCCCCACACAAGGCAAGTGCCTTCCTCCTGGCTTCCACACTGTAATCATTTTGTGGTCCAGAGTCCTCAGGGGAGCTGATCCAACACGTTAGAATGGGCAGCTCCATGGACCATACTGCCGGCAAAGCATTGCCAAGGACCGACTCCAAATTCTTTCCATACATATTTTAGAAATTTCACTTCCTTTCTCTCTTAGCCTGTATTTTATGCAGGTGTATATAACTTTGGACAAAATATATATTCTGAGAGAACTCACTGTGTTAATGGATCTCAAGGTAGATATCCTTTTAGCTAATGAATGCATCTGTAAGGATCAGTCTACATTTATCCCTTTGGTAGGTTCAGATTTTTTTTTTTCCTCCTGTACATTTGCACAGAGGTATTGATTGTAATTTGATTAACAAATGTGTTTCTTCTGTCAAGGGCACTTTCAAAAGTGCTAAATTACATACATGAATTTGGACACATTGCAGTTATAAAATGTACAGCATGCTTTCTATGCAGCAAATATAGTTAAGAAGAATGGCTACATTTCAAGATGGGCTATTGTACATGTTGAAAAATGAATATAATTTCTTAGATCTTCTTTTAAGTCGATGTAGAAATGTCGGTATTAGGACATGGAGATAAGAAAGATAATTTATTGTGTGCCTGCTTAGCATGGACTTTGAACCTGCTGCTGGCTTTATGGTTGAACTAATCAAGTTGACATCTCAGCTTCCTCACTGCTACAAGGATTCAGAGTGATAAGGTGTGCAAAGCATCTAGCCCCATGTGGATGCAGCAGTGAGCACTCAATAAACATTAGTGCCTCATTGTATCTTATTCCATTTAATCCTGTGAAGTAGGCAATCAATGTCCCTCTTCTATAGAGAAGAAGACTGTTTGCATAGTTTTCAGAAGTGTGTTCCAGAGTCACAGTGTAGAACTGGGACTTGCATGAGAACACTGATAAAACCTTTAACTGAGAGTTATTCTTCTAGGCTGCCAGAACATCTGTACTGGGGTTTTTCTATTATAGGAAAGACCACTGTAGCTGGAATGATGCTCTGTACTGAGAGACAAAGCTGCCCCCACAGGCAGCAAATTCACAATAAACATTGTTTTTTTCTTTTTCATGTTTTTCTTTTTTGTTTTTATTTTTCCTATGGTATTAGGGATCAAACCCAGGGCCTTATGCATGCTGGGCAAGAGATCTACTGCTAAGCTACCCCCAAAGACCCACAATAAACACTTCCAAGTTTAGAAAAACTTTCAAAGGGCCAGTTGTAGTCAACTATTTCTTAAAGTGTTTTTTTTATTTTAATTTTTTTGAAGTTCTCCATATGTGGATAGATCTATGCTTATCATAAATACATAGATCTATTTATGAAATGTGCCAAGTACAGCAGTCCTACCAATACCTCTGCTGTATAAATGTCATCATCTATGCAAATATCAACTTCTAATGCCAGCTGAAGAAATTGTAAGAGTGACTATGTTCCTTGAGCTGCCAGAAGATAAGCCTCCAGGCTTGTTTATTTGGGGTGGGGCAGATAACTTACTGCTCTGGAATTCATCTCTCCTTATGGCATGAGCATCTCCAGCCCCCTGACCACATGAGTCAGGCTAGATGTTAGTATTGATCAAATAGGCCTTTCGGGCATGGGCTTCAACTGAGAACACCCCTGTTTCTGTCTCAAAATGTTTTTCTTCTCGGTGTCCATTTAACTACATACTGACTGGTGTAGAACAATGGTTGAAAATTTAATAGTGAAATATTTCAATGGTGTTGACCTTGAAACTGGAAAAATCACTTTACTAATATAGGATGCTGCTATGATGTGTGGAAATTGATGATCTGTAACCCAAGATACAGGTAGGATTTAGCTCCTATAATAACTGAGCCTCTTTTTCCTTGAGATGTTCAGTATATGCAAAAGAGAGAATGAAAGAAACCTCAGTTCCACAAATGAGTATGGGCTTACTATAAAGATAGTACTAAACTAGAATTGAGGCTGAACATCGCATCGGTTTTCTTTGCAGTTTACTTCCCAGCACTTAATCTATTCAAAATATTTTCCTTCACAACATTGCTACCTTCCAAATAACTCAGATGCATAAATTATATTCTGCCATCTAAATTTATATCTGCAATAAGGCTCAGAGTGCGTGCATCAGAATTCTATGCAAATGAAAGGAACTCACCCCAGGATACTGTTCTGCCTATGACAGTTAAGCTACATGTCACCTCACTTAAACCTTTCTGTGTTCTCTTTCCAGGGTTCAGCGGATTCCTACACAAGCAGGCCGTCTGACTCCGATGTCTCTTTGGAAGAGGATCGGGAAGCAATTCGACAGGAGAGAGAACAGCAAGCGGCTATCCAACTTGAGAGAGCAAAGGTGACTTTCTTCTCCTTCTTTGGTTCAAAAACTGACAGTTGCTCAGCAGCTGTCAGCTGCCTTTCCCTGCCTTACATTGTTACTCTAGAATAATCATTTTCTGATCATTATGATAAAGCTCCAGATTGTTAACCTCCCTGGACCATTCACTTGTAAGATAGATTAGTAACATTCCCAGAGGGCCATTTCCTGAGACCCTTCATCCTTTTATGTTTGGTTTGATGGTGAATTCTTTGTCATCTTGTAACTTAGCAATGTGGCAATATCAAGCCTGCCGTGCCTAGTGTTGGCAGAGAGCCTCCTAAGGTACCAGCTTGTGCCCCGTCATCTTGACCACCTCCCCTTGTCTGTTACATAGCCTTTATTGCAAGCCACGCATGTACTGTAGCTCTGTGGATTCCCTACTGGTTTCTCTCCTCTTCTTGCTCTCGGTTTCAATCTTCCATCTCAAGTTCAGTGTGAAGTCCAGAACTTTCCTTTTGTTTTGTTTGTTTTGAGATGGGGTCTCATTATGTTGCCCAGGCTGTTCTCAAACTCCTGGGCTCAAGCCATCCTCCTGCCTCATCCTTCTGAGTAGCTGGGACTACAGGTGTGCAACACCACACCTGGCTAAGTTTCACACTTCAAACAACTCAGACAGAAGCAGCAAAGATGTGTGATGAAAACCAGTACCAGATTAGACCTTCAGATACTCCTCTCCCGGTACACCCATAGGAAACAACGCAGAATAGATTCCATGGTTGAATTTTAGAACCAGGAGAATCACTAGCAATCTCCCATTCTATTTTTTTTCTTTGTTTCTTTGACCCTTTTGTCAAATGAATTTTTATCTACAGTACTAACATAAAAAATAGAACTCATGGCCAGCCTTTCCTTTTGCTCACTATGACAGACTCCAAGGATTCGTTGATTTAGCCTTTCTAATTTTAAAAAGAAAAACTCAAGCCCAAATAAAATAAATTCTTTCCCTTTTCTATTTTTACAATAAAATCTTTTAGAGAGCAACAAGAAAATGATKCAGGTGCCTGAGATGTCTTTGTTGGCTTTGACATCTATAGATCTGTGTTCTGTTATCAGCAATTCCTGTGAGGTTCCTGTGGACATCAGTGAGACTCTAACTTGTGTCCTGCCTCCACCATTGACCCCCAGCCATATTCCCTATGCAAATAAATGAACTAGTAACAAAGCAGCCTAGAATTTCAGGAACCTTGTGTCTCATATGTGGCTAATTTCCTGTTTTAAAACTCTCTTTTGGAATCAGTTTTGTGGCTATTATGGTCACCCAGATATTCACGGCAGCATTAGCTATGACTGGTGTCTTGATCTGCCCCTTCAAGGGGCAGATTAATTAACAAGTGCTTTAAGGATTTGTATAAGAAGAGTTTGAGAACCAGATTTTGTAAGCTAGGAAGGAATGAATGAAGAGCCCTGTCTGTTGGGTTTCACCCAGACTGGCCCCCTTTTCCCCCTGTCAAACAAGRTATTCTCCTGCATGAGATCTTATTGGTTTTCAGATATGAGGTTATTTCAAAAATACTTACCTTACCAACTTCCCAACCCTTTAAAAAAATACCCAGAACATATTTCCTGCAACCTTAGGTGGGAGGATGTTTGTTACTGTTTAAAAGAAATAACTTTTATGACTAGAGGACAATGYGGACTGTCCCCACCTCTGTCCATCCTCCCTAATACTTTAGGGGACAGCTCTTTATTTGGGATGTTGGAGCGTACTGCAGGAGAGGAAAAGTGATGGGGCTGGTAGGACTGAATCATTTTCAGAGTCAACTCTGCAGATTTCTTGATATTACCTGGGAATATAAAACCTAAGAGAATCCCTCTCTGGAAAGTGATTTCCCTTGCTGCCTGGTACCATCAATCATCTTATGATACATTGCAATATGAAAACTGCTCATCTCTCTTCCTCCCTCCCTCACTCCTTCTTCTGCGGTTCTGTCTCTAGTCCAAACCCGTAGCCTTTGCCGTGAAGACGAATGTGAGCTATTGTGGAGCTCTGGATGAGGATGTGCCTGTTCCAAGCACAGCCATCTCCTTTGATGCCAAGGACTTTCTACACATTAAAGAGGTAAATGTAGGACACACTGCATCTCTTCACCTGCCATAAAACCAAAGCTGGAAATCAACTCTGAGCTAAACTCACCAATGAGGAGAACTGAGGAGCTGCTAGTGAGGTGCCTCATTCAATTCTCTGGGCCCTCTACATGCATTCAGTCTCAGTGAGAGGCAGGAGCATGTGCTCATTGCTGATGTTGTCATGTACTACAACATTGGATCTTGGTCCATCCTTGAAATCATAGGACGGATCTAGGACAGACCTTAGGTTCTCTGGTTACCTTTAAAAAAAAACAAAACAATTTAGGGAATCAAATCCAGGACCTTATGCATACTGAGCAAGCACTACACCATTGAGCTACTTCCCAACCCATCTTTTAATCAGTCTGTGTGGCTATAGAGCCATTGATCTATGGATCCAGCTTAGGGAATCATAAGTTTGGTATCACGGCACCTACCTAGATGGGACTATTCATAAGGGATGCTATAATTTATAGACACTGGGTAATAGTCCTATGAACTGATTTTGGAATTAACACCAGAGTATGTCATCATTAGAAGATAATGATAGAGCTAAAAAAAAAATAGCAGAGGATGCTAGGAAACAGCATTTAAGGGATTGAATAATACAAGGAAGACTTCAGGCCTCAAATCTAKAAAGGCAGAATAGTGACATCAAATTTTTTTATTTACTCAAACCAGGTATGTTGAAATTCTACTTCATGTCAGACATTGTACTAGGCATTGGGGAATCAAGTGTAAGGATCACCATCCCCATGGACAGAGAACTTTCAGTCTGGAGGGAGGGACAGACAAGTATTCATAGTTTCTGCATGGTATGACAAGTTCTATTATAAAAAAAATTGATTGATGTTGTGGAAGCCCACAGGAAGTGGTGGAAGGACCATCTCGTAGGGGAGGAARAAGATCAGGGGATCATAAAGCTCTACAGAAGTGGTGAAACTTGAGGTAGTCCAGGCTGGGACAGGGCTGGGCACTTGGTGGAAGTATGGTTGGAGGGCAGTGGTAGAAGTGATACGAGAGCAAGGTCTGGATCAGAGAGGCAAGGGCCGGATTTTTAAAAAGGATCTTTTGGGCCATGGTGAGAAGATTGGTCTTTATTACCACATAGCAGGCTAAAGAGAAACTGGAAATAAAGGACAGATATAACTAATCTTGAAAGTAGAGTAACACCAGTGGGCAAGGGAGCAGAGCATAGGCCTGCCAAGACATGCTGGAGGCTGGACAGTAGTGGTAGCAGAAAAGAGGGAGAAAGGGAGTGGCTTGGAGAGAGAGAGCTAAGGGGCAAATAGAGTATGGAGATTGCACATGGTGAAGAATAAGGGAGAGAGAAATGAGGGATGAAGACCAGTTTTTCTGGCTTGCTTGGAAGGATATAAGATGGCATTAGCCTCTAGTATCAGCTGTCAAAGCAGAGAAGATGGAGAGAGGAGCAGATTTGTTGCAAGGGTGAACATGGTTATGAATTTGCTCTTAGATGCACTGGATCTGGGGTGTTGTGAAACTTCCTGTAAAGATGCTTGAAAAGTCCTTACCCACATCATGTGGAKGCCAGATAATAGAAATTGCAATTGTGTTTTTTTCCCTAAATGCTTTGGGTTGAAAGAAAAATGGTTTTTAGCTAGGGGGAGATAGCATAGGGCTGCGGAAGCCTTTTAAAAATTTGTTGTACATGTTTTGCTTTTCGGGATGAGGAAGATTTGTTTGTTTTTCCATGCTGAGGTGTTTAACCCTGTAAAATAAATTGGAAGGGAAAGGGATGACTAAGAGAGGGACTAGAGAAGAAGGGAGGAGACAACATCTGGTGGATGGACACRGGACTTGGGCTGAGTCTGGTGGAAAGCCTTATCTTCTTTGAACTTCCTTCTTCTGTACAGAGTTTACCAATGGGGAGGGGCATCCATTGGAGGGTGTTTCCACTCGATAGTCTCCACTAGCTCTGCTGGAGGTGAAAAATAGAATCTTAAAGAAAAGTGAGCATGAAGGAAGAACAATGAAGTGAAACCTGAGAATGGAGGTCCCAAAGAATGTGATAAACATAAACACATCATTTAACATAACCAAGTCCACCTGCCCTTACCCGGTCCCCAGTCAAAAATGAGATGTGCAAACATATAATCCTTTTTGAAAATCATTGTCTTTGAAACTCTGCATTCTGTAAGTCTAGTTCAGCAGCATAGAGGTCAATGGGACCATTGTTTGTGGAATTGTGGAGATAGAAGCTAAACAAAATGGAGTGAGGAGACAAGGGGGCATAAAGAAATGGGTTAGCATGTATGGACAGTGCTTGCAAGGGGGTTGACACTGACCAGCCCACAGACTTTGGAGGGTCCAGGTCAAAGGAGGTTTTCTTTCACAGTGGGAGCTGCTGGAGCATCCACATATGTTGATATTAACAACTGAGGGGGAGATGTGGATAGGAGAGATGGGCCAAGGGGTAAAATTTTTGAGTAGGCAAGAAAGGTGGGCTTCAGACCCAGAGTGGAGGGACAGACCTTGAAAGAGAGGCACTTGTTAAGTTACATTCAGGAAAAAGASGACTATGGGCATAGAGCCTGTGGAATGGGAGACTAAGGACATCAACTTCATGACTTCCACTTTCTCCATGGTGGACAAGGTGAGGATACCCACATTTACCTAGAAGACAAGGACCCTTGACCTGAAACATGCACCTCAGCATAAGATTGGTTAAGTTGATTTTATCTCACCATTTCCATAAAAAAAAATGATCAAGGTTGCTGGGCACAATGGTGCATGCCTGTAATCCCACATGACTGAAGCAGGAGGATCCTGAATTCAAAGCCAGCCTCAGCAATTTAGGGAGGCCCTGAGCAACTCAATAAGACCCTGTCGCTAAATAAAATACAGAAAAGGGCTGGGGATGTGGCTCAGTAGTTAAGTGCCCCTGAGTTCAATCTCAAGTACCAAAAAAAAAAAAAAAAAAGAACAAACCGTGTTCATTAGTTGCCAATTACCAGTGTTTCTAAGGAGAAGCAACACTTTAAAAAATAAGGGAAGTTCTCCCATATTACACACACACACACACACACACACACACACTCACAGAAATATTCTGAGGGGGCTGTGATTGTAGCTCAGTGGTAGAGTACCTGCCTAGCATGTGTGAGGCACTGGGTTTGATTCTCAGCACTGCATATAAATAAATAAAATAAAGGTCCATTGACCACTAAAAATTAAAAAAAAGAAATATTCTAACACTGCTGTACTTGATTGCTTTCCCACATTCTATCAGTATTTCTCTTTTTTATTAATTATTATTTCAATTGTCCATATTTATGGGGCACAGTGCAATCATTTGATACATGTATATGATATGTGGCCATCAAATCAGGAAAGTTAACATTTCCATCTCTTAATATTTGTTTGAAGTGTTAGATTAAGATCATAATTGTACATATTTATCAGGTATAGTGTGATCCATTGATACYATGTACTGATCAAATCAGGGTAATTAATGTTTCTATCTCCTTATCATTACTTTGARTTTAGAGGCTTCATGCTCCTCTTGATCAATATTCTAATATCAATATTCTATTGTCCTGTTGGTTGCTTTTGGGTCTGTATACCTTCGATCAGGGACTTTCTCTGGCAGTTTGATGTGTGGTATTGACCTGGTAATCCTATGTAGACCAGAGCCACTTGTTTTCAGTTCTTGAAAAATCAGATTAAAAAAAAAAAATCTTAGAAAGAGAATATCCTAATCCTTTTAGGGAATGAAGTTGAAAAAGATTGGAACAACACTAAGGTGACCTTTCCAGAAAGCTGGCACTAGCTCCAGGAATATCAACAACACAAACACACACATTTCTGTCATCGAGTCATAACTTTTGTCTCATCTGTCACCTAGACAGCCATCTCTTAGGCACCCGTCTAAGTACTTTCTCAGTCATGAAGAGGCTTGCATGCAGARAAAAGCGACAGTTATGTTGCCCCCCAAAGCCAAATGATGAGTGAATTAAGCTCTTGGATTCACATCGTGACTTAACTACYGACTAGCTCACAGAACTTGCCCCCTCGCTGAGTCAGACTCTGCCTCAGCCTAAGCTGTTTCCTACATTTTGGGGAGTTTGATTAAACATTTTTGGAAGTCCTTTAAGATCGCTTGGGTACTATTTAACAAATTAGTATTCCAGTGGGCTAACTTAATTTCAGGAAATAACTTAAGCCCTAGGAAACGATGACTCATGCTCTGTTTTGTCCCTACCACAGTAAAATTTAAATTCCAGACCTATACACCAAAGATTCTAAAAGGGTCCACTTGCCTTTTCTTAACTACAAAATAAACAGGCTTGTTATTTCAGGCCTGTTATCCTGAAATAAAAGACCGGAAAGTGAGGAAAACCAAGACCTCATTGTTAAGGTTTTTCTATCTGGTCAGCTCACGTTTCTTTCAGTGCAGGCTCATACTTCATGCCTTACGTGCCTCATACAGGAGCTGTGTGCATAATAAAAGGCCAACTCCTACCCTGTCATTTTCTTTTGCGTGTGAGATGGTTACTCAGAATTACTCAAAGTTMCTCAGAATTTCATGCTGTAAAGATCCAAGGAAACCATCCGTGCTTCCTTCAAATGTGTCAGTATCATAGACATGTAAATTCTGCATTTGTCTAAGCTAAGCAAATCATCCTACATGTAGTTATTGCCTTTTGAAATACACGCAGCACACATAGCAAGCGCGCGCGTGCACACACACACACACACACACACACACACACATTTTCAACACTGGTAAAGATAATGAAGGAAGTTTGGGGAATATTCATCTCTAGAGGGTTTAAATAATATAATTGATACCTTTTTTCTAAAAATGACCTAGTCGAAACCTTCCCTTGAGGCTGGTGGCTTGGACTAAATTGCTTCCTGCCTTAGGATTCAGCAGATCAATAATTACAAATGCAGTTTTGCTGACACATCAAATAAGGCCCCGTTGACTGTGTCATGCCCCATGTTGGTTGAAACCTTTGTGTGGACTTGTGTCTCAAGTTTACATGTCATGAAGCCTATTTGAGTGGAAATTTTGGAGTTCTTGCTTGTTGGCTTCAGGCTATTTGAAGATTATTCCCCAAAATTCTTCCTACAGATCTAAAATAGGCTCAGACTTTATGAGAGTAGACTTCTTTTTCTTCATATAATAAGATGGACCCTAATCTGAAAGCTGTATTTGAAATAGAGTAGACTACATATAGTATCATGAAATTTTTACCTGATAGCTGTTAGAAATAACATAGTATTGGACGTATTTCATCTGAGACATACCTATCTTGGCTTCTATAGTTCCATTTACATGGATTCATATTTTGCCTGATAAAATGTATTCCAGAAGAACTGACTAGGGCTTCTTTTTGATTTTTTTTAATTGGTGCATTGTAACTATACATAAGAATGGGGTATATTATGTTATATCTGTACTTGTACATGATGTAATTTGATCAATCTCATTCCTCAGTAACTTCCCTTACCCTCCCTATATCCACTGGCTCTGCTCTGGATTGCCCATCTATTATTTTTATTTTAACCAGTGAATTATATATGGGTGTATACATATGTATGCATATGCGCACATCTGTATGTATACATATATATAGTTCATTGTGGTAAATTCGTACATGCACATAGCATAGTTGATAGATTTCATTCCCCAACAAACCCCCATGCCCTTCCCTCCTTCTCCATCTCCTTTCTCTGCTCTATTGGACACCCATCTATTTTTGTGAGACACCCCCCTTTTTGAAAAAAAAATATTCCCCTTCCCACTCTCCTCTCTCTAGCTTCCATACATGAAGGAAAACATTTGACTTGACTTCAGGAGACTGACTTATTTCACTTAGCATAATGTTCTCCAGTTCCAGCCATTTACCAGCAAATGACATAATTTCATTCTTTTTTAAATGATGGAGTAAAACCCTATAATGTAGATATACCGCATTTTCTTCACCCATTCGTCTACTGACAGATACCTAGGCTGGTTCCCTACCTTGGCTCTTGTGAATTGTGCTGCTTATATTAGTAGGCATGTGCCACCATTTTTAGATGTTTTGGATAAATTCCAAGGAATGGGATGACTGGGTCACCTGGTGGTTCCATTCCAGTCTTTTGAGGACTCTCCATACTGCTTTTCAAAGTGGTTGTACTGATTTTCAGTCCCACCAAAGATATATAGGTGTACCTTTACCCCCATATCCATTCCAGCAATTATTATTATTTATTTTCTTGATGATTGCCTTTCTAACTATAAAGAGATGAAATCTCAGTGTTGTTTTGATTTGCCTTTCTCTGATTCCTAAGGAAACTGAACTTTTTTTTTCATGTATTTGTTGGTTGTTTGTATTTCTTCTTTGGAGAAATGTCTGTTCAGTTCATTTGCCCATTTATTGACTGGATTATTGGTTTTGGTGATATTAAGATTTTTTAATTCTAATGAAAAGCAGCCCTAAAATCCATATGGAGAAATAAGAAACTCAGAATAGCCAAAGCTATTTAAGCTGTGCTAGAGGCATCAGAATACCTGACTTCAAATTAACTACAGAGCTATAGTAATAAAAACTGCATGGTCATGGCCTTAAAACAGACATGAAGACCAAAGGAACAGGATAGAAGACACAGAGACAAATTCACATAGTTACAGTCATTCAATCCTTGACAAAAACATATGTTGGAGAAAAGATAGTCTTTAATAAATGGTGCTTGGAAAATTGGATATCCATATGTAGAAGAATGAAACTAGATCCTTATCTCTCACCCTGCACAAAAATCAACTCAAAGTAGAGCAAAGACTTAGGAATTAGACCAAAAACACTGAAACAGGTAGAAGAAAACATAGTGTCAGCACTCTGACATATTGGCACAGACTGACTTCCTTAATAAGGCAGGTGCCTTATTAAGCTCAAGAAATAAAACCAAGAATCAATAAGTGGGATGGCATCAAATTAAAAAGCTTCTGCACAGCGAAGGAGACAATTATGAGTGTGAAGAGAAAGCCTATAGAATGGGAGAAAATCTTTGCCAGTTACTTTTCTGACCAGGGGTTAATATCCAAGCTAGGGCTTCTTGACAAAGGAACAAAGGAATCCAAAGGGTAGGACTTGGCTTTGGTAAGGTTTGGCAGACTATAGCCCACAGGTTGAGGCTGGCCCACTGCCTTACTTGAAAAGAAAAGTTTCRAAACACAACCATGCTGTCTTGTTTATGTTTGTCTGTGTCTGCTACAGTAATAAAAACTGCACACTAGGACAGCAGATTCAAGTAGTTATGGCAGAGACCATACGGCCTGCAAAGCCTAAAATATTTACTATCTGGGTCTTTGCAGAATTAAATCTGCAGCACCCTGCTTTAGTCTATGAACCTAAAATATTTACTGTAATGTAAATAGTATAGTGTGATATAAATAGTATTTGTATGTCAGAGATACAATAAAATATATCATATGAATAGTGTTTTGTTTTTCTGGTCCCCTGAAATTAATTCCTGGAATGTGAAGATAAGTGAATTACTATTGATAGCAGTTTTCCTTCTGCATTCCAGAAATACAACAATGATTGGTGGATAGGAAGGCTGGTGAAAGAGGGCTGTGAGATTGGCTTCATCCCAAGTCCACTCAGATTGGAGAACATACGGATTCAGCAAGAACAGAAACGAGGACGTTTTCACGGAGGGTAAGGTCCCATCTTGTCTGTAAACTAGCTTGCTCTTTCTTTTTCTTTCTTTCTTGTAGGAAAATTAGATGATTTTTTTTAGATTTGCTTGTTTATTAAGTTAAAAATATATGCTTTAAAAGATACTTGTCTGCATGGGGTATTTCTGAAGTTGAAAAGGTTTCAGATTTCCCAGGACCCCTTGCATATGCTGGAGCCCAGCACCCCTGCAATCCACACAAATGCCACAGTGGAGATGGTTTTCTGCGGCTTTCAGCAAACCCTCCTCAGAACTCAAAACTCTCCTCTGTGAGAGTCAGAGTGGGCAATCATTCCTCAGAACAAGTGCGAGCTGACCTGACTTGGCATTGTGGCTTTTCTTGGTTCACTTTCAAAGACTCTTTCTTAAGTGGATGCCGAATGTGATGGTGCATGGACAGTACCAGTAGCTCCCTCTCCAACTGAGCTTTCTGTAAGCATCAGCCATCTCCTGGTATTGGCGCCAAGACCCTGTCTCGCTCAGATGAATCAGCCTCTCGTGAACTAATGAAGCAAATACGTAGGCCTCAGAGGGCAGGTGGCTACAGGTCCCAGGAATACAAGCACAGTTTGAGAGAAGAAAAATCCTACTCCCACTCCTGCATGAATGTGTTCCAGCTTGAACTAAAGCATTGATGTATTATAACTCTTTGGAAGCCCTGAAATAGAAGTAGTTGTTTTTTCTTTTGACCCTTAACCTCCATTTTCCATTGAATCTTTTGTTATTTTAAAAACTCTCCTGGTTTTTGGGGTCTCTTTTGCTTTTGTCCTAATGGGAATAATTTTCAATGGTAATACATCATACAAGTACAGTTAACTCCACTTTTAATCATAATCTTTTAAGTGTATAACATGCCTAAACTACTACTGTGAATCCTCTTGCCCACTCTTCTCTAGTTATTTTGCTTCCCATGTTCCTCCTTAAATTCACCCAGGAATGCATGGTTCTGTCTCAGGACCTTTGCACTTGCTGTTCTCTCTCATTGGAACCCTTTCCTTCACATTTTCATCAGATCGCTCCTTCATGTTCTTCAAATCTTTGTTAAATATCACCTCTGCAATGACCCCTTTCCTGTCCACCATATTTAAAACTATACCCACCCCTTCCCCATGCTTCTAATCCTTTCCCAGACTTAATTTTTTCTCTTTCACTTATTACTCTCAGAATTGTCTTATATTTACCTATTTATTTTGTGTAGTACTGACATCTCCCACTATGCAGTGATGCACAAAGAGAAAAAAATTTGTCCCTCACCGCCACTGTTGTATCCCTAGCTTCTAGATTTCAGATACAAAATTAGTATTTGTCAAATAAATAAAGGAGTTACTATCGTCATTCAAAGTTTTGTTGTAACTTATTATTAATCCATAATATCATTGTGGATTTTTGAACTAAAAGATCACTTTGTGGCAGGAGCCATAATAAAGCCATGAGCTCACACTCAGTATCCTGTTTTACCTTTATATCCCCTTGTGAGGAGTAGGGAGCTCCTGCATCTGTAGATGGGAAAACTAAGGCTCAAAGACATGCTGTATGTGCCAAGGTCCCACAACTAGTGAGTGACAAGGACAGAATGAAGAATCAAATGGGAGACCTTCGGGGTCATACTCAAGAGTATTGAAAGGCAAGAACATCAGAGAAGGAAGAAGCTCAGCTCCCCAGGCCTCTGCAGGTTCAGGAAATTTTCCAAAGCACCCAACAGGACACTATTGTTATCAGGACACAGATAACAAGAACTCCTTATAGTGAGTTGTTAACTCTGAACCCCCATAATTGTTTTTTTTATTGGTGGGGGGATGCCAGGGGATGAACTCAGGGCCACTTGACCACTGAGCTACATCCCCAGCACTATTGTGTATTTTATTTAGAGACAGGGTCTCACTGAGTTGCTTAGTGCTTTGCCTTTGCTGAGGCTGGCTTTGACATTGCCATCCTCCAGCCTCAGCCTCCAAGCTTCTGGGAATACAGGCGTGTGCCACCATGCATAGYTCCATGATCACTTTTAAGAAGAAATTGTTGCTCTAGGTCTTCCTGCTTGTTTTGAGCTGTGTTGACATCTGACTGGTACCTGGTGACTAGTGTGGGGTGAGCAAAGCAGTTCACTAGGACATTCCAGCCAGGGATTCTTTTGCCTAATTTCTGCATTCAATAACTTTTGCAAAGTATTTCCAGGCCACTGTTAGTTCTCCTCTTCCTCTGAGAAATGAGGTCAAAGAAAACATTTGAACAGATTCTTGAAGTTGCTTTCTAGCAGGATTTGGTGTGCTTTGAATTATTTAGTATAATTAATTAAGGCCAAGATTTTTTTTTTAATACTCTCAAGTTCTATTTTCCAAGAGTCTGAGGAGTTTCTTTCTCTATCATAGGAAATCAAGTGGAAATTCCTCATCAAGTCTTGGAGAAATGGTATCAGGGACATTTCGAGCAACTCCCACATCAACAGGTGAGGGGTTTAGTTAAATTATTTTAATGGAATACATTCCTTTTTAAATATTGGAATACACATGCAAGCATTTTTATTAAATTTGAAATCAGTTAAAGGCTTGGTTTTCAGGGTCTTTTATATAATATTTCATTGCTCAGTTGTTTTCTATGGTGATATGTTTAAAGAATACTAATGACCTAAAAATTTAGATCATTAAAATATAATTTCAAAAACTCTTATTTGCCCCACCACCAGAGGTAATAATTATTCATTATGTAAACCAATTTACAACAAGTTCATTACTCAAGAACCCAACAGAATTTAAGATGCTAAGGGCCAACAGAAAAGTTAACAAGTTGGACACTCAAGGAAATGCTGTGATCAGTCTCCATGTGAAACTTTAGGATGTATTGGTACAGCTGGAGATTGGGAGGGTTAAAGCAGAGAATGAAGTAGGRCCCCGATGACCCCTTTTGCCTATTTAAACAGGAGAGAGTTGAGCCCTGGAACTAATATTAATGAAAGGACAGTGGCAGCTCAATCGGGAATTCCTTTTGCTTTGGGGAATTATGGAAATAACCACCCAGGAATTTTTCTTCCATCACATCCTCTGATTCCTGTAGGCTAATGTCATTCTGGCCCAGAATTGACACTGCATTAAGGCATCTGCCAGTACCATTTCAGAATGGTAGGTCCAAGGSTGTATTGATACGTGTCAAAACTGGATTGGTTCTGAAGCAATTCTGGGGCTCTGGTCCTTGTTCATATGAATCCTTCCTGATCTCTAGGACTGTGAACCCAACTACATGTCAGGTTATCCCCAGAGTAACAGGGCCTGCCTGGTCCTTTCGCTTGCCCATTTGCTGGGCTTTGAAGGGCATGACAGTTTTTCACTGTTACAAGTGGATTTGAAGTTTAAAAACAACATGGTAGAAAGAAAGTATCAGTGTTCCAGAAAAATGGACAAAAAAAAATTTTGAAGAATTATCTCATGGTTCACCAAAGTTACAAACACAAAAGATTGAGGTGATGGTCATTTTTGCTCATTATTGCTTCTATGTGTCAAGTTTTATTTGACCAGCTGTTCTCAGCCAAACTGTGTGCTGTGTTTGGCTCTGGAACAACCTAGAGGTTAATGGGGAGCCAAAACCTTCCGCCACTCCACCAACTCAAAATCAGGATACAAGGTCACTTATACCGGGAGAGTTACCTGTTTCTCAGGTGTCTTCAAAAGTGACATGTCCAGAATGAAATAAAGGAGCAGAGCTCCCCAGAGGGGTGATAGGGAAGCAATAAGGATGGCTAAGGACCAAACGGTACATTCATCCCTCTGTTAACTCATGTACTATCATTTACAGAGATTACGTATTTTGATATGGCTCTCATTGTTGTCTTTTAGCAAAACAGAAGCAAAAAGTGGTAAGTTGTATTTCCTTTTTAAACTTACTGTTAAGGCTCCTGTACCTACATGCCTGCAATCTCCATCTCAGTAACCCACATAGCTATAAAGTAAGGGCTGAGCCTCCCCGGTGGGGACCTTTGGTTATCATTAATGGCTCAACCCAAGAACTGTGAATGTTGTGGCTGTGGAGGAGGCGTGCTCGGCCTCACCTTGTCACGCATGTTGAATCATCTCTTTCAGACGGAGCACATTCCTCCTTACGATGTTGTGCCATCAATGCGTCCGGTGGTGTTAGTGGGGCCGTCACTGAAAGGTTATGAGGTACAAATATCATCTGTTACTCTTCAGTTCTTGACTGAGAACCCAGGACACGGTCCTTTGTGCACTTGCTCCTCCAGGGTCTCATTATGTAAGAACTAATGGAAGCCAGCTCTCAGGATGTGAAGGCGGGTGGCACTACGTGGGGCTTCTGTGACCCTTTGTCCTTTCTCTCCTCTCTTGCACACTTCTCATCTTTATGCATTACATTGTTTAGAAATAGTCTCCCTCAAATCATTTACAATGGGAAGTTCTGGTAAAAGATTTGCTCTGCATTAAATTCAAAGAAAAGGACTGTATTTGTCTCAATCATTCCCATTATTATTAGAAACAATAGAGAATGATCCGCACAAGGGAATAGATAAGCAGTCTTCCAGAAAACCCAAACACTGAAAGCACCAACCAATTTCACCCTACTGGGTAAATAACACTATGGCTTATTCTACCGAATGTTTTTTAGGCTTATTTGTTTTTAAGGACAGATATAGAAAAAATAAAATAAAACATAACTGAACCCTAGAGATGAATTAAACAGTACTATGTAACAAGACAGAGTAGAGATTTAAATACATGACATTTCAGATGTTGCTTTCTGGGCTTTGAGTTAGTACAGGTACAAAATAGATGTGATGTGCCATTTGAATCTGAAGGTAGGCAACCCGCAAGACACCGTTTCCACTAACCTAGGACAATGTCTTCACATAGTAGGCACTTACTGCACATTGGTTGAATAAATTAATTAATCTCTTGAAGCAGATCTAAGAATTCCATCTCTCTGCCTTCCTCTGGGTTAGAAATGTCAGAGTGATGAACAGAACAAAGGTCTGCCCTGGTGATGGAGAACTTGCAGCAACTGCACAGACTAGCAGGACAGCTGGGCCCAGGCCCTGCCTTAGGCAAGCACAACTCAGGCGCCCCCAGGGTGGCCAGCACCCCAGACCAAAGCCAGCCTGCTGTCTCCTGGCAGCAGTTCTACCCGCTAATAAGGGAAAGGGGAAGAAGGTTTGCCTTGGGTCTGATGACCACTGCTGGTTGATTCCTCAGCACTCTGGAGGAGGACCAAGGGGGAAATTGGCAACTGCACTTCCTGATGCATGGAAAGCACCTTCCCTGGGAACCTCCCTTAGGCTGTGATAAGGTCTCTGCTGGGTCATAGTGCCCTCCCTTCCACCTCTCTCACTTTTGACCTCTCTCTCTGCGTGTGTTTGCCTCATTCTTTTTTTCTCACCTCTGCAAAGGTAACAGACATGATGCAGAAAGCCCTCTTTGATTTCCTGAAGCACAGGTTTGATGGGAGGTGAGACATATAGATGTTTTTGTATTTTTATTTTCCTTTAACCGAACATGTATGATGAATTGATTTGTGGGTCTGTGTTTCCAGTAATTACAGAAGTTCTATAATTAAATAGTAACAGAGTGTTCTTGGGAAGAATGATGATGATCTCTGAAAATATGAAGCATGGCATTGAATTCTCAAGGGAAAAAAAGGGCCTTGAAAAGGAAAATAAAATGTTTGACTTTATTTTCTCACTTTCAGTGAATTCATACCAAACTGATTTTTAGGAAAAAAAATAATTAAAGTATATGTTTCTCATGAATATGATGGTTCACTGGTCATGCTGGGTAATATTATTTGGAAATTGTGTGTGTGTGTGTGTGTGAGAGAGAGAGAGAGAGAGAGAGAGAGAGAGAGAGAGATGCTAAGTATAAATATAAAATACTGAATTTCCTCAAAAGAAGAATCCAAAAAATTGTTTTTATTATAAGACTTCCAAAATGACCATTTTGTAGGAGATAGTGCTTATTTGGATGTGTAGTTCTGGATTAGTTTTATTTTATTTATAACTCTATGTGTGTGTATGTGTATGCACTCGCACACACATGYACACATTATAGTTAAACACAATAGTGGGGGTCATTTTGAAACCTCATTATTTTATTGGTCTATTTATAGATCTGTTTTGTATTATCCTATTGTGATCCATCATTGATATTATCCAACTATCAAATAATTTTATCATTTAAGTCTTGTGAAAATGTCTAGAGAAGGTTTCTGTGTTTTACAGAGAAATGGTTAAAAAGTCCATATTGACATAATTCTGAGTACAAGCTCTTCCACAATGCAGAATGCACTCCATGTGAAAGTAACCACATGAGAAAACCTGAAGAGTTATCAGAAATGAAGAAAATTTAAATAGTGTGTATTGAGAAATCTGGGTAAATGCATCCAATTTGTCACCTTAAATGGGCTAATTAATTTAAAAATGTTTAAATATCTTCAAATAGATTTTAATGAATATGGTATTGTAAGGAAAAAGCAAACATGGTAATGTTTTAAATACAAGTTATATATAGGTTCTAATTGAAGAAATAAGAATACCTCTGGAATGTTATATGAGTTTCTAAATACATTAATATGACCAGGCTGCCTTAATACATTGACCCCAAAATGCATAATGATTTAAACACAGTGGAAGCTTACAGTTGCTCACTTAACAGTGAGTCAATTGTTCCACCTGGGAAGGACACTTTAGTTTGGGGGAGGGGAGAAATGGACAGAAAGTTTGCTCCACCTGTTGTGTGTGGCCCTTAGTCTGGGGTGAACGTTCCAGTCAACTCATTGGAGAAAGGAGCATGCAGGACCTGGAAGTAGTGACCATCTTTTTTCACATTTAATTGGCTAGAATTTGGTCATGTGGTATACCTACTTGCAAAGGAGTCTGGGAAGTACATCTTGCTCTATACCTAAAGAGGAAGATAAAATAGATTTTGTTGAACCAATAACAATCTCTGCTGCAGTCATCTAGTGGACACAAAGAGTTTGATAAGAAAGGCGTGTTTATCCCATTCCCTTTTTAAAAAAACAGGCAGAAAATGAAAGAGTTTCAAAGAAAACCAGCAAAACTTGCTAAATATTAGAATATTGGCATTGACAGCCAAGGTGAAGTTCGTTCATTCTAATCTCCCTCTTCCACAACACAGTCAGATGGACAGTCAGCTTCCCTTTGAACACTTCTRGCTGGTAGGAAATCCTTTCCTAAAAAATGCAATACAAAGAAATAGCTGAGCTCTGACTATAACTTAAGAGCAGTGGTCTTTGTCCTGCCTTAAGCCCTAACCCTTATCCTTCTGTCACTCTCCATGGACTAAAGGTAGCTAACATGCATGGCCCAGCCTCTGTTCCTTCAGTGATGCTTGGAGTCACTCGGTTCTAACCTGTGTTGACTTTACCTAAGGTTGCTCTGAGTAGTGCCTCAATCTCTGGCCCCATAGCAGCCCTTGATCTGAACAAATTCCATCCCATAACACTGCCTATGTTTGTGTTTTGGTCCCCACATGACATGCCTATAAACAGCAATGTTATTTAAAAATTTGACAGATAGCACTGATCAAAAAAAAAAAAAAAAGATAATTTAGCAAAGAGAAAATGAGTGGTTTAATTACTGGATTCAAGAATGAAGAATCTGATGTCTTCCTTAATCCTTTGGCCCAGAAAGAGGAAATTCATTTTATTGTATCAGCAGTGATTTGTCTTGAATCAAGTAGAATTGTCTGCATCAATGAGAGCAAACAGACTATTTTTTTWAAAAAATTACTTATTCTAATTAGGTATTATGACAGCAGAATGCATTTTGAATCATTATACACAATTACAGCACTTTTCATTTCTCTGGTTGTACATGATGTAGCAACACACCATATGTGCAGTCATACATACATGTACCTAGAGTAATGATGGCCATCTCATTCCACCATCTTTCCGGCCCCCATGCCCCTTTCTCCTCTTCTCCCTCCCCTTTGCCCAAAGTTCCTCCATTTTTCCCATCTCCCCCCCCCACACACACACACCCATTATGGATCAGCATCCACTTATCAGAGAGAACATTTGGCTTTTGATTTTGGGGAATTGGCTTACTTTGCTTAGCATGATATTCTCCAACTCCATCCATTTACCTGCAAATGCCATAATTTCATTCTCTTTTAATACTGAGTAATATTCCATTGTGTATATATACCACAGTTTCTTTATCCATTTATCTATTGAAGGGCACCTAGGTTGCTTCCACAGTTTAGCTATTGTGAATTGAGCTGCAATAAACATTGATGCATTACTATAGTACTAGAGTACTGTAATATGCTGATTTTAAGTCCTTTGGGTATCGAACGAGGAGTGGGAGAGCTGGGTCAAATGGTGGTTCCATTCCAAGTTTTCTAAGGAATCTCCATACTGCTTTCCAGAATGGTTGAACCAATTTTCAGTCCCATCAGCAATGTATGAGTGTGCCTTTCCCCCCATATCCTTGCCAACAATTATTGTTGTTTGTATTCTTGATAACTGCCATTCTGATTGGTGTGAGATGAAATCTTAGAGTAGTTTTGATTTACATTTCTCTAATTACTAGAGATGTTGAACATTATTTTTATATATTCCTTAATCAATTGTCTATCTTCTTCTGAGAAGTGTGTCTTCAGCTCCTTAGCCCATTTATTGATTGGGTTGTTTGCTTTTTTGGTGTTAAGTTTTTGAGTTCTTTATATATCCTGTAGATTAGTGCTCTATCTGATGTGCATGTGGCAAAAATTTGCTCCCATTCTGTAGGCTCTCTCTTCACCTCATTGATTGTTTTTGTTTTGTTTTGTTTTGTTTGCTGCGAAGAAGCTTTTTAGTTTGAATCCATCCTATTTATTGATTCTTCATTTTATTTCTTGCACTTTAGGAGTCTTGTTAAGGAAGTTGGGGCTTAATCTGACATGATGAAGATTTGGGCTTACTTTTTCATCTATTAGGTGCAGGGTCTCTGGTCTAATTCCTAGGTCCTTGATCCATTTTGAGTTGAGTTTTGTGCATAGTGAGAGATCGGGATTTTAGTTTCATTTTGCTGCATATGGATTTCCAGCTTTCAGAGCATCATTTGTTGAAGATGCTATCTTTTTTCCAAAGTATGTTTTTGGTGCCTTTGTCTAGTATGAGGTAACTGTATTTATGTGGGTTTGTTTCTGTGTCTTCTATTCTGTACCATTGGTCTGCATACACACAATTGAAGTTGGTTTTGATAGAAACAGAATAAGTTTCAGTGCCAAGTGTTCATGAGGTCTGATGACATAGCAGAGTATCTAGGGGAAGAAGCCAGTAATAGTGTAAGTAGTAGCTACACACAGACTTAGCACCAGAAAGGACCCATGTGTGGCAGTGGGAGAAAGATGTTAAAGGTCGTGTGACAGAGTGGACTTACTTAAGAATAAGAAGCCAGTGCAGCAGGTAAAACAATGAGTTCACTGGTGCATGAACTCATTGTTTTAATAAGGAAGAAGAAATTGGCTGGTAGCTTCTCACTGGCTCTGATGTGTCTGTTGCTTGGAGAATATCCTTATGTTTTGAGCTATGAAAATATGCTACATTATGTTTTACCAATTAATAAAAGAAGAGAAAATGACAAGTAGCTTTTAAATGAAACCAGCCAAGAGAACAATCACATGGAAGGCTTTTGCTCAGTGACACAGCATAAACAATATGTTCTAGTRGAAACCTACTCAGTGTTTCATTGACTATGAATGCAATTTGTTTAGACAAAATGGCAGGAGAAAGTCCTATAATTTTTCAGAAAGAGTAAAAATATCCATTAGCTAAGAGGTGTTTCTATTCAGTACTGTTTTTCAGATCTTAGTTAAAAATTAATTCAATGAATTAGACTAAAGTCCAACTGCTTAACTTTAGAGTCATAAACTTGAAAGGGTTTTTTGATACCTTAGCTATGATCAGTTTAGTTTTTCTATATTGATGCATTACAATTATATGTAATAGTGAGATTTATTATGCCATATTTATATATGCATATAACATAATTTGATAGATCTCATTCCTTAGTACTTTGCTTTCCCTCCCCTCTTCCCTTATGTCTCCTCCTGATCTGCTTGCTGTAATCTACTGATCTCCTTTCTATTATCATTATTATTATTATTATTATTATTATTATTATTATTTACTTTTTTCATCATTATTATTTTAATTAGTACATTATAGTTAAATATAAAAGCTGGATCCACTGAGGTATATTCATACATGGACATAGCATGATTTGGTTAATTTCATTCCCCYGTAATTCCCATACTCTCTCCTCTTCTCTCCATCTTGATCCCCGTTGGTCTCCTTATTATTTTTGTGAGATTCCTTTTTTTTTCTCTAACTTCCACATATGAAAGAAATCATAGAAAACATTCAACCCTTGACTTTCTAAGTCTGGCTTATCTTGCTTATCATTATGTTCTCCAGTTCCATCCATATACCAGCAAATGACA